ACAAATGAAAAGACTTACACAGATCTAACACCACCTTCTTCAACACACAGATCTAGCACTAAGTTAGCTATTTCAAATGAAATAGTGCTTTGCTTCCTTCAGGTACATACTTTAAACAAAGACCTAACAATGTTAACTCCCTATTTCTTTGTCAATAGAGAAACAGCAAATACATAAAGGAAAGGAATCTTCAATGAGAAATTGAGATCAGCTGAAAAATGTGTGCAAATTATAGAAGGAATTTAGAAATTATTTAACAACCCACAATCACTGTGAATAATTACAAACTTACCTCAAGCTGACCTCCCCATGCAGCTGTGTTTACAATATCATCACAGTACTTTCCAAACTCTTCTGTAGAGAACAGATCAGAATACAGTACTTAATAATTTTCATAACTCATGCTAAAGGTTCCCTTTTATAGCTTTCACAATTCTTGATGAAAATGCCGAAGTTATGAATATCCTCCTTCTCTACCAGTACCTTCCAGAATTTAATCTACTTCCCAGATTCAAACTTAAATTCACCCCAACTTACCACCATCTTTTCCATCTAAGAGCAAAGCAATCCATTTCTGCTTCTCTCCCTCAGCCTTAGGCCCAGGGACTTTATCTATGTAACAAGCCCACTTCCCTCTTATTACTTGAAGCAATGACCCCCAAATTACCACCATTTTAACTATCTTGACATGTGTTTTGAAGCCCAAACCTGCATCCAAAAGAATAGCATGAAAGACTAAAAACTGTAGCCCCTATCCAATCAGTTTCATTATAAGACCCTATGAGAGATGTGTGAAGAGAATCAGAATAAAAGTACAAATGAATTGAAATTCCTTCCCCAGAGGAAGGAAATAGTGCCTTCAAATAGTGCCTCCACTTGCTATTTTGGAAACACCTAATTATTTGCCTAAATATCAGTTCTAGCCAAGGAAAGGGCTTTTCAGATCAGCCCTAAGGGAAGTAAAAGACTTAATCACTGAATTTACAAGAGGCATATCTTGTGCATACACCTTAATATACAGCATGTTAAAATGGGAAACAAACATCCTTCCTGTTCTGAGAGTGAGGGTGGGAGGGAATTATGGATATCTAGAAGAAAAATATGTCCCATGTTTTGTCTCATTTACTGTTTAATCCTCAGTGTTCAGAACAGGCCTAGAATAGTGCCCGGCACACAGTGGCCTTCAATAAATATTGGTTGAATGAATGAAGATAATTAACTCTTTTGTCTTTTTCTCTGACTCAGCATACAAACTGTTGATAAATCTCAAGAATGACTATAGTTATATCTAATTCTGTAGCCAATTAATTTCCCATAGATGTCATATTGGAAATGTTAACATGTCTTGCTATCTTAGGCCATTGCTATTTTCTAAATTACCAGAATTTGCTATGGCACACAATAACACATTTTTCCATTTATCTTGATATATGCAGAGGTAACATCATAAATGGCTCTGCTGTAATTTATCTCCAAAATGATTACTAATCACTGAAACTCACCAGCTCTGTTAGTTGTAGGGGCATTTGAGAGGAGGTGGCAGTTTGTACACTGACTTTGCTCTACTTCCTTCCAAGAAGGGCAGATTCCATTAAAGGAAAATCAACCTTAACCTTCCCCTCTTCACCTCCTCCTGGCCATAAGATTTGCTCCCAGTGGATACTGACAAAACTGCCTTCCTCTCTCAAGTACTAACTTTCCTCTATTCCATTCTTTACTCCCCTGAAACTCTTTCATATTTTTACTTCCTCTCTTCCTCATTTGCTAGTTGTGCATTTTTTACCTCCTCATAAATATTTTAACCTAATTATCAAAAGTATACAGAATAAAGGAGGTTATTAACTCATTTGTTTCTGGTTTTGCAAAGTCAAATTTTACTTGAATATTGATCCTCCTAATTATAGCTTACTGAGAATAAAATTTAATCTCCCCAAAGTATAGGATAAAAGGAGAAATTAGTTTTTCTAATCATTCTCTGCTTATGGGCTTCAGGACCTATATATACTTCCAGAGCCTGGTCAAAGCTTACCTTCCTCTATGCTTAAATTTGTTAAATATG